CACCCCTATAATAAGAGAGGTAGATGTATATATAATAATAAATAATTATAAAGACCCTCTATAGCCCCGCAATTAGCAGCCTATAGAAAAAGTTGTTGAGGATGTAGCATGAAGGTGATGGCTAGACTGAGTGTCTGCTGAAGTTTTATTCGTTTTCCAGTCCCTTTTGTCGGTATTGCGGGGTTGTGTATATTTTTCGAGATTTTCGCTTCGGATTAAGCTATTGTTGTTGAAATAAGAGAAATTGATGCTTGTGACTGTTAGGGTTAGCCGACTTGCGTTTTTCTAGACCCACTTTACCCACGAGTTCGCCGAAAAGGTTGCGTCTTTTTTTTATTTGGAATTCAGAAAGAATTAGAAAAGACCATAGAGTCAAATCATAATAGCTTGAAAAGCATAAAAGTAAAACAGGATAAACTTCATTTCTCGCGAACATCAGTAGTAATCGAGATACTAAATTAAACAATCTTCATATATTTTTGTTCTACTTACATAGCAAATCGAGTCTATTTCTTGGGGGTGGTTTACAAGAAAACGGCATACATCATTCGATTCAGAATTTTATAAGGATTTCAGATATGCTATCCCGTTTCCCGGATAACTCTTAGTTTTTGAGAAAAGAATGGAAAACTGGTGTACGGTGAACGTAGTGCCTTTTCTTCTTTTCTGTCATTTCTTCTTCGTTTGTGAATATATTCTTTTTTCTTTGATTTCTCTTATTTTTATATATTGACAGGATGAACAGACAGAACGAGAAAGAAAATAGCCATATATACTTAGTATTAAACACTGATTTCTATAGCTTGGTTTAATGTTCATTTACTCTTCGAAGCAAGAAAATCTCTCTCACTATGAATTTAATTCATAACCCGTCAACTTCAAGAATTCAAATGTCATGAATTAGGCACTACGCATTTCCAGTTTCATGCGAATCTCAAGCATACAAGTTGGTCATTCTGCTGAAGTATTTTTCAATAAAAGGCACCAAAGTTTATTGACATGTCGGACTGCCTATATTGTGTTGAAATCACGCAAAAAATATACTTTTCGTTTTTAATTGAGTAAGCTACCCAATTAGTTGTGGAAAGAAGTGTTAAATTTGATGTCAGATGTTGGTGACCAATTCCGACACAACATTTTTCGATGACTTTTTCCATTCTCTTTGGGCTTCAGCAACCTAGTCTTGCAAATAATCTTAATTAATGTCTTCTTTTGAAAAGAAAATTCACAAAAAAGATGAAAGAAACAAACTTTAACTAAATCGCACATACAGACGCTGAGTATCTTCTTTGAGAAAAAATAATTTATATAGTGATGATTCTTGAGCTGAAATCGTATCTTTTATATTCCAATTGAAAAATAATTTAGTAATTGCAGTTGATCCATCTTGTCTCAATGCTATATCAAGTAGTCTTAGGCGTATACGTTTCTGTAATAATTGAATATTGAAATTTCTCTTATTTGTTGACATAAAAAAGTCTTTTGTTGTTACGTCGTTGAATTTAAGAACAATTTCTGAAGACAAAGGCTGTTTCCCATTCCTAATCATTCCCATGTGTAGCATGTACAACTTGTTTCATTTGTTAATTATGTGTGTAAACTTATGTTTGAGATACGTGATTGTATATAAATTCGATTGATACATTTATACATTTAAAAATAATTTATTTATTCAATTTGAGTTAGAGAAAAAATACATAATCGCATAGAAAAATCTTCTTATAAGTCAGTAGCAGTTGAAAGACATACTTTATTCTACATAAAATTCATGAAAGAAAATATTATTCTGAAAGCTTCAGTTTAAAATACAAACTGTTCAGTTACCATGGTAAGTAATCTTTTTTTAATTCCGAATGATAAAACATCAAGCTTTTTAACGGACTTGTGAAATTTTCTAGCGAATGAGGGATATTCCGAATTCGCTTGTTGATCACGAACATGCATAAAAAGTGGCCATATAACAGTTTATGTGTCGCCAAGAGTGGCCTCTTTTCTTTCATATATCTTTTTCAATCGTCTTGCAAGCATATGCTTGCAAGACGATTGAAAAAGATTTATGAAAGAAAAGAGACCGCTCTTAGCGACACATAAACTGTTATATGGCCACTTTTTATGCATGTTCGTGGTCAACAAGCGAATTCGGAATATCACTTATTGTCTTAAGGGTAATTGTTTACTTTCACTCAAAATCTATATCGTGCTTCCGTCTCTCGCCTGATAAATCCGTTTGACATTACCTCCAATAAGTAGTGCTCATTTGAAAATAGAAATGAAAAAAGTATTTTTTGAGTAACTCTTTGACGGAGATAATTAGAGACATTTACTTTTCACTGTTGGGTAGAGGGATATATCGGAAGTATATTTATTATAAAATCAGTCTTTTCAATGAGGTTTACCATGGTGTACCTTTCAATACAAAGTCTGTGAGAGTCCTGTTTCCAGAAAAAATATAATTCTGTAATTCTTATTACATGGCTCCAATCTTCAGATTGTCCTCTTTCAAACTAGACTACACCCCGTCACATTTGATCGAAAAACAAACATTGCTACGAGATTCAGCATGACCGATAACCTATATTTCATGTCTTGTCTAGATCCCCAAACCAAAACTTTGAACGATAGACAGGTCTTCGGAAAACTTCTATAGCTACCGAACGATACGTGACTAGCAGTATGTTTTATTCAATCTATTTGGATATGTAATCTATATATCTGTTCGCTTCTTCATCGTGTTTGTATAACGACAATATGTTTGAATTAGAGAAACAAAAAGTAAGCCTTAACAGGTGTTTGTCGTAACATTCGCTATTTAATCTGCTTAGATTATTTGCAAGACTAGGTTGCTGTAGCCCAAAGAGAATGGAAAAAGTCATCGAAAAATGTTGTGTCGGAATTGGTCACCAACATCTGACATCAAATTTAAGACTTCTTTCCACAACTAATTGGGTAGCTTACTCAATTAAAAACGAAAAGTATATTTTTTTGCGTGATTTCAGCACAATATAAGCAGTCCGACATGTCAATAAGCTTTGGTGCCTTTTATTGAAAAATACTTCAGCAGAATGACCAACTTGTACGCTTGAGGTTCGCATGAAACTGGAAATGCGTAGTGCCTAATTCATGACATGTGAATTCTTGAAGTTGACGGGTTATGAATTAAATTCATAGTGAGAGAGATTTTCTTGCTTCGAAGAGTAAATGAACATTAAACCAAGCTATAGAAATCAGTGTTTAACACTAAGTATATATGGCTATTTTCTTTCTCGTTCTGTCTGTTCATCCTGTCAATATATAAAAATAAGAGAAATCAAAGAAAAAAGAATATATTCACAAACGAAGAAGAAATGGCAGAAAAGAAGAAAAGGCGCTACGTTCAACGTAAACTAGTTTTTCATTCTTTTCTCAAAAACTAAGAGTTATCCAGGAAATGGGATAGCATACCTGAAATCCTTATAAAATTCTGAATCGAAAGATGTATGCCGTTTTCTTGTAAACCACCCCCAGGAAATAGACTCAATTTGCAATGATTCAATCCAATTTCTTTCAACTTAATATCGTAACTTTATGCTATTGTTGTTTCATTGGTAATGATCTAACTCCTCAAATAAAACGCAATAATTTCAAATATTACTTATTTTGAAACATTCTGCTCCTATTATCGATGTCACATCTTATTTTTGTTTTTAAAATGTTAGTTGATTCAATGAGAAAAGTGAAAAATTAACATAAATTATTGCTGAATAAGTGTCAATGTGGATTTTACTCCCATCTTTCGCCGCTATCGACAACAACAATCTATGTTTTGCAGATCTGTTGTGTTACGAAATAATTCTTCAAAATTTCATATTTCGATAGTTTTGTTTATTTGGATAAAATTAAAAATTTTTTAATAGTGAAGCAATTTATTCTGTTTTCGTTCTTACAATAACATGCTGATAAAGAGTGACATCATCATTATGCTTGAGACCTCCATGTAATTTATTGATAGCGCAGTTGAGTACGGTAATTCGTGGAAGGAAAAACCTACTTGCATGATTACTCATTGTTTTCTGTTCTTTACGTACTTTTTTATTAATATTACTGATGCATCACTTAACTGTCTGGATTAGTAATCAATTATGACATCGGTAACTACATTGACCAACGAAAAGGCAATACCTGAAAGCAGCATTGATATGCCTGTACTTCGAGTAAGATCATATTATAATTGTGAACTAATCGTAATAAAATATTCATCAAGGATATGATCAATGATTTGCATGAATCGATTCCATCATGTCCCCACCCAATCAATACTAGTGTGTCATTCTTTTATCATTTTCTATTTATTATATTCAATTATGCACCGTTCCAATAGGTCTGCTTGCTGAAGATTTTCTTATTAACAAAGCTCTTGCTCTATCACAAATATCTGAACTTGCTCTATCCACTGAAGAGATCAGCAAACCTGACAATGTTGATACATCAACTGTAAATATATCTGGTAAGAATTTCGTTTGCTATAGGAACACATGAGTAGGTTTTCTGTCTTCTTTCAGATACACTTTTGGATGCTATCATCTCATCTGGTAAACGTTTTTCAATTGCATTAAATGGTGTCAATTCTTCAAATAATATCGAATCTGAAGAACAGCTTATTAATAGAAGAAGTATCGAACATTCATTTTTACAAAAAGTTGATGATGTGCAATCAGGCGTAGTCTCATCATCAGGTACATAGTCATGAGATATGTTTGTTGTTTTCTATCCCACTATTCTAGTACAAACCACCAAAGTTAAAGAAACACCAGCACATAAACAACATATTATGATAAGCTATAATAGGTCATGTGAAGATACTTGTCGACAAATTCGTAATGCCCTCAAGGTAGATAAATATTATGTTCGACGAAGAATCAATTTATCTGCTATAATTGACAGAGATTAAAATACAATGTATGGATGGATGTGTATGACATGCATGATAATTTTATTGATGGAATGGCAAAAGCTATTAAAAATTCATATATTGTTCTTATATGCATCAGTGAGAAATATACAGAGAGTTTTTGGTGTAGAAAAGGTAGAAACTTTTTTATGATTGAATCGCAGGAAAATTTTTGTCTATTTTTATATCTACAGAAGCTCAAGACGCTATTAAGAAAAAAATTAAAATCATTCCATGTTTAATGGAAGAATCAATTTCTCAAGATGATGAGCTGGATTTTATTTGTGGTTCCAATATCCAGGTTGATTTCTCTCACGCAAATAAGTTTAATAAGTCATTCGAACAATTGATCAAAGAAGTCAATTATACTGAAGAAAAATTAGCTATACATCCTCGTAAATTCACAGCTATTTTCTAAACACAAAAAATATAAATTTGTCTTAGGAGGAACTTCACCTGTCACTCCAATCATCAATCCATCTGAGATAACTACATCAAATCCTACTACCAGAGAATTTAATACTATTTTGAGTCATTTCAAAACCTGGATTGAAGAAAATCGTCATCATTTAAAACGATACAATCGAAAACAATCTGCTGAACTGATCAGTCAACTTATTGAAGCATTGAAAAAGGATAATAATTTGTTCGATGATGAAAGTACAGAAGAACTTCCACAACAATTACTTTTTTCTACTTCAAAAGATGAAAATCAAAATTTCACACGATTAATTAATAGTTCAGTTAGATCAAATTATCCGTTGATCAAATGTTTGATTTGTGTTATGGGACTTTGGGCTGTGAAAGTTATTTTTCAAAAGAACTAAATTTTTCTAACTGTTCACGTGTTTTATTTGTTTATCTTTTACATTAATATTGGTCCTAATATTGTTTAAAATAAAAATTAACTGTAACTATCGTAAAAAAACCAGCAATGGCAGAATTCAAGAATTCTGTTAATTGATTTAATTTCCCTTGTACGCTTATGTGCTTCATTTTATATACACTTATCTCTGCTAAGAAATCAAAATTCTACTTAGAATTTTGCTTTTCCAGCAGACTTGTGTTAGAATTCTGATTTCCTAACAGAATTGTGCTTCATCATCGTGACGATTTTAGATAGAAGAGATGCTTGCATGGATGGAATTATGCTTTATTTAGCTTCTTCTTACCAAGAATCGCATCGTTTACATCCACAACACCCGTTTACATATGCAACCAAGAAAGAGAGAGAAGGAAAAGATATAGCAAGAGAAAAGATAGACATAACAGTAGAAAGATGAGAATAACAGGAAAGATAATTAAGGAATATGATATAAGTATTCCTATTAACAGAATAAGCAACAAGCTAATCTTTATTATAAAAGGATGAAAGACAAGAGATATGTTGACAAGGAGAAGCCAGAGAAGATAAAACGCGATGTAATAACGCTCTCAGTCAAGAACGTCACAATCATATACACATACCCCTCCATCGAAATCAAATTTCTGCTTAGAATTTTGTTTTTCTAGCAGGGTTTTGTCAGAATTCTGATCTTATATCAGAATTGTGAACCAATATGAATCATATGTAATTAACAAACCTTAAATAGTCTATCCTATGCGTAACCATTTTTATTATGCAACTGTAATAATAACATAATGGAATCGTAACACTATGTAAAAATTAATTAGACTAATTTTAATTACGAGAGAATTCATTTTCTAATAAGTACATATCACTGAAGTTTTATGTTCGACTTCATAGAGTATTATGTTTTCAAATTTTAAAAATATATGCTGAGATTTGTACGTGATATCATGTATTTAAAAAATGAAGATATATGTAGAATGAGTTTTATATTTATGTATGATCGATGATTTATATAACTGGAAGTTTTCAGTCTTTTTAAGAACCATTTTCAATCTTTGGGAGTGTTTGATGGAAAATTAACAGTAGAACAAAAACTAAAGATGGAAAGAACGAACATTAACACGAAAAGCGGATATGCTCATAAGCTATAAAGGATGCCGCCGGTTAAGAAAATTTTTGATATTTGAGATTGTTTGATATGAGTTTTGTAGAGCATTGAATGGGCTATCTTTCAATATATTTATTTTTTCTCAAGCCTTTGTAGTAACT